TCAACCGCATATATTGAATATTACATAAGATAAAACATATTGGTCATTTTATTCAATTCAATTTTACCAGGGTGACCCCCTTGGAAAAAATGTCCTGGATCCGTGCCTTTTTTCCCCCCCTTTTTTGTGAAAATTCATATAAATATCAATACAAATATAAAATTTATTCAGATATGTGTGGCAGTTGGCAGTAAGCAGCTGAGAGTTGGCAGTAAGCAGTCAGCAGTTGGCAGTAAGCAGTTGGCTTTCGTATGTGGCATTCCATACTTTTCTTATTTATTTCTAATTTTTTATTTTATTTATTTATTTTTTTTTTTTTTTTTGGTCAAATTTTTCAGATAAGTTGATTTTTTTCCCTGGCTGCACCCTGCCCACTTTCAAAAACGATGCTATGACCCTGTATCAACAAATGAATTAAAGCGTAAAATAATTAACAAGAGGCCCATGAAGATGATATTAATTTAAAGAAGGTTTTATGAAAATCTGCATGCTACATGTATTTCTATTATTCCTTATTTTGCACATATATTATATACACTTCTCATTGTTATTTTACTGACAACTTCAGAATAACAAAGTAGACAAAAAAAGAATCCTTTTTGAGTTTTCATGAACAAATACACTTTGACAAATAGATACATACATATATTTTTGTTCAGGATTGACGCTGACAGCTCATATTGTTCATGTATTGTAAATATACACATTTTAAAAGATATATGTTTCTGGAATTATGCTAACAAATTAATATTTTGTTCAATGAAATACCTATACATGTACAATGTAAGATAAAAACCTCATGACCTAATAAACAATGTAACAAATGTATGCAATAAAACACCTTATTTTGGCATTGATATGCGTAGAAATACTGATAGGGCTAATACATGACTGCCCAACTTCCACTATCACCTTCTATAATTCTTTTAAAAATACTTGTAAGTATGTGCATATTTACGATATAAGATAATTAATATTAAACTATAAAAATGCATATGTACATGTACGTTATCACTTCAAGTACCTTAATGCAAATTCAATCGTAAAACCATAACGCTACAGTTCTGCAGCTAAGTATTGTCCTTGAATTTTGGCACACAAAACTGCTATGATAATTCACAGATTGACATAAAAAAGATAAAAGAAGGACCATAGGCTACAATACTCACCAGAGTATATTAACTAAGAAAATGAACAAATCGGTACATAATTGAAAAGTTTATGGATGGGGGGGGGGGGGGGGTCTTGTATTTTAAACTACTTAAGGATGCTTTCATATCAATATAGCTAATTGCTTCTTTTTTTTTCAACAGAAGATTTTTCAATGATTATTATCAATAAGACTAATTGTGGCTTTGCTGTTCTAGAGAAGATTTTTAAAAGCTTTGTATATACATTTATATACATGTATTCAATTTAAAACTTTGATCCGACATTGTGGCAATGCCCTACCCCCGGAAGTCATCATCTGAACAAACTTTAATCTACACTTTGTAAAAAAAAGTTTTCTAAAAGTTTGAAATTTTTAAAGATATTTAAAGATGCAATCAAATTTTCAATATTTCTGAATTATCTCCCCTTCAAAGAGGCTATGTTGCCCTTAATTAATTTGTACAATCCAACTAAGGATGCTCTGTGGCAAGGCTGATTGAAATTGGCCCAGTTGTTTTTGTCAAAGTTTAAGATAACAATGACGAAATTGCAATCAGAAAATTAAAGCTCACTTGAGCCTTTGACACAGGTGAACTAAAACAATTTCAACTTCAAAAACTTCTGATTAATATCATTAATATCACCAATATATTCATATCAATTTTCCATAATTTGCCTTTTTAAATTTCTTCATTTGTTCTTAGTCTATCAGCTTCAAATTGTCTTTGCTGTACTTTTCTATGTAGTCTACAAAGATGGGGTTTCTGTTTAATACCTCTTTTATGGTCAATTACAAGGATTGTTTCTCCACATTCTAGGTTATCATAATTTTTTTAAACTTGGTAAAATTTCTCAATCTCGTAACTCAAATGCTAACTTGATTGGTTTTTCCACAGTTATGAGACCCTTGTTGGTAATAACTTTCAAGGGAATCTGAAAAGGAAATATTTAATAAAGTTATTAATGATTAAATATGTTGTCTCTGTTTTCTATGCTTTGAAATTTTATTTAGTACTTGTAACTTAATTAAATTAATTTCAATCATGATACACAATATTTTGAAATATAATATAAAAATACTTTCTTATAATGTAAGTTATAAAATATTTCAAGGGAAATAAGAAGCATCGCTATCATCATTCTTTATAATAAATCTTGATTCCCTCAGGTAAATTGAGACATCTAGTGTTTTGTACCTGAGTTTCCTGACAGGGAACAAATCGAACCCTCCTGAGAACATGAACCAGGGCTATTTTTAGTTCTAACATGGCCAGCCTCATTCCTAAACACATTCTTGGACCAAGTCCAAATGGCATGTAGTAAAACTTGTTCTGGACATTCTTGGAATTTTCAAATCTGAAAACATCATGGAAATAATTATTCTGCACAGCTATCTAATATACTCTTAAATTTGTGGTCATATTATAGACAGTTAAATTGAAGCTCAAGCATCTATTGTCCCCATCCCTACCCAACCTGTCCCTAACCTTAGAAAATGGCACTCATAGTCACAGCTTTATATATACCAAGGTCATTTAGCAATACATCTGTGTACATAATTCCAAATATGATCTTTCCCAGAAATTAAGAGAAGGCTGCAAATTTGTTAGGACAATTCTCAGGTAAGCTTGGACTTTCAGTAAGGTTTGGCATTCTCGGTGCTATGTAATTAGCATCTGTCAAATGGCAAATAGATTCTCATTCGTTAAGAAATTAATAAAATCAGGAACTTTAAATTGTTGTTGACAACGATGAGACAATTTAAGCTCCACCTCTTTGCCGGGCGAGACAGTGTTATTAGCTCACCTGAGCCGAAGGCTCAAGTGAGCTTTTCTGATCACATTTTGTCCGTCGTCCGTCCGTCCGTCCGTCTGTCCGTCTGTCTGTCTGTCCGTCTGTAAACTTTTCACATTTTCGACTTCTTCTCAAGAACCACTGGGCCAATTTTGACCAAACTTGGTACAAAGCATCCTTGGGTAAAGGGGAATTTAAATTGTTAAAATGAAGGGACATATCCCCTCGCAAGGGGAGATAATCAAGAAAAGACAAAAATAGGGTGGGGTCATTAAAAAATCTTCTTCTCAAGAACCACTGGGCCAGTAAAGCTGAAACTTATGTGGAAGCATCCTGGGGTAGTGTAGATTCTAAATTGTTCAAATCATGACCCCCGGGGGAAGGGCGGGGCCACAATGGGGAATCGAAGTTTTACATAGAAATACATAGGGAAATTTTTGAAAATCTTCTTCTCAAGAATCACTGGGCCAGAAAAGCTGAAACTTATGTGGAAGCATTCTGGGGTAGTGTAGATTCTAAATTGTTCAAATCATGACCCCCAGGGGAAGGGCGGGGCCACAATGGGGAATCAAAGTTTTATATAGAAATATATAGGAAAAATCTTTGAAAATCTTCTTCTCAAGAACCACTGGGCCAGAAAAGCTGAAACTTACGTGGAAGCATCCTGGTATAGTGTAGATTCTAAATTGTTCAAATCATGACCCCCGGGGGAAGGGCGGGGCCACAATGGGGTATCAAAGTTTTACATAGAAATATATAGGAAAAATCTTTGAAAATCTTCTTCTCAAGAACCACTGGGCCAGAAAAGCTGAAACTTATGTGGAAGCATCCTGGTATAGCGTAGATTCTAAATTGTTCAAATCATGACCCCCGGGGGAAGGGTGGGGCCACAATGGGGTATCAAAGTTTTACATAGAAATATATAGGAAAAATCTTTGAAAATCTTCTTCTCAAGAACCACTGGGCCAGAAAAGCTGAAACTTATATGGAAGCATTCTGGTATAGTGTAGATTCTAAATTGTTCAAATCATGACCCCCGGGGGAAGGGCGGGGCCACAATGGGGTATCAAAGTTTTACATAGAAATATGTAGGAAAAATCTTTGAAAATCTTCTTCTCAAGAATCACTGGGCCAGAAAAGCTGAAACTTATGTGGAAGCATCCTGGGGTAGTGTAGATTCTAAATTGTTCAAATCGTGACCCCCGGGGGATGGGTGGGGCCACAATGGGGAATCAAAGTTTTATATAGAAATATATAGGAAAAATCTTTGAAAATCTTCTTCTCAAGAACCACTGGGCCAGAAAAGCTGAAACTTATGTGGAAGCATCCTGGTATAGTGTAGATTCTAAATTGTTCAAATCATGACCCCCAGGGGAAGGGCGGGGCCACAATGGGGTATCAAAGTTTTACATAGAAATATATAGGAAAAATCTTTGAAAATCTTCTTCTCAAGAACCACTGGGCCAGAAAAGCTGAAACTTATGTGGAAGCATCCTGGTATAGTGTAGATTCTAAATTGTTCAAATAATGACCCCAGGGGGAAGGGCGGGGCCACAATGGGGAATCAAAGTTTTATATAGAAATATATAGGAAAAATCTTTGAAAATTTTCTTCTCAAGAACCACTGGGCCAGAAAAAGTGAAGCTTATGTGGAAGCATTCTGGGGTAGTGTGAATTCTAAATTGTAGGAATCATGACCCCCGGGGGAAGGGCAGGGCCATTATAGGGAATCAAAGTTTTACTTAGAAATGTATAGGAAATATCTTTGAAAATCTTCTTCTCAGGAACCACTGGGCCAAAAAAGCTGAAACATATGTGCCCATGGAAGGATCATGGGGTAGTGTAGATTTCAAAATGTCTAAATTATGATCAGTGGGGTAGGGTGGGGATGCATTATGTATAACAAGGGTGAAATCTGGTAAAGAACAGAATGGTCAAAGTTTCTCAGGTGAGCGATGTGGCCCATGGGCCTCTTGTTTGTTATTTGGTACACTCATTGACATTTGACTGAATTTCTATCCCATGTATATTTCAACAGTGAGTAAAAGCTGTGTAAATTTCAGACGCTAATCATGTAATGCCGAGAATGCCACGCCTTACTGAAAGTCCAAGCTTACCTGAGAATTGTAATACTTTTACTTGAATTTCATGACTAATTATAATCAAATGTGGTAAATGCACATATTTTCTGACTCTAATTGAATGTTGCTTATAACACACGTTTGTCTCAACTTTTCATGTAATATCATAATATTTTATGATTTATATTTATCACACTGGGAACCCACAGGCACCAAAAGCATTACCTGTCTGGATCAAACTTCTCTGGATCTGGCCAGTAATCCGGATTATGATGAAGTCCATACACTGGAATCACCACGGTGCCTCCTTTTAGAAAAGTGTAATCTTTTATCACAACTGTCTCCCCTATCTCACGAGTTAGTCTGTCAAATGAAAAAAGAAACAAGAGGCCCATGGGCCACATCGCTCACCTGAGCACATGGGCTAGTTTAAAAAACACAAATCAGCTCAGTATTGAAAAGTTTACTTGTTGGGGAGGGGGGTGAATTTTTTTCACTTGAGAATGTCACTTTATCAATAAAGTATACATACATAATTTGCCATACTTGAGAAGAAGAGATTTAAAGATTTTTCCTATATATTTCTATGTAAAGATTTCACTGCCCATTATGGCCCCACCTTACTACCAAGGGTCATCAACAAACTTGAATTAACTCTAACAGAGGATATTTCCATATTAATATCACTAATCATAGCCTTGTTGATCTTGATAAGAAGATTTTTAACAGATTTTTCCTATGTATTCCTATGTAAAACATTGATCAGCCATTGTGGCCCCACCATACCCCAGGGGGTCATGATTTGAACAAATTTGAATCTACACTACCTGAGGATGCTTCCACATTAGTTTCATCTTTCCTGGAAAAGTGGTTCTGGAGAAGAAGATTTTAAAAATTTTTCCTATATATTTCTAATATATAAACCTTTGATCAGCCATTGTGGCCTTGCCCTACCCCCAGGGGTCATGACTTGAACAAACTTGAATCTACACTACCTGAGGATGTTTCCACTTGAGTTTCATCTTTCCTGGTCCAATGGTTCTGGAGAAGAAGTTTTTTTTTTATTTCCTATATATTCCTATGTAAAGCTTTGATCAGCTATTTTGGCCCTGCCCTACACTTGAGGATGCTTCCCATGAGTTTCATCTTTCCTGATCCAATGGTTCTGGAGAAGATTTTTAAAGATTTTTTCCTATATATTTCTATGTAAAACTTTGATCAGCCATTGTGGCCTCGCCCTACCCCCAGGTATCATGATTTAAACAAACTTAAATTTACACTATCTGAGAATGTTTCCCCATAAGTTTCATCTTTCCTCGCACAGTGGTTCTTCAGAAGAAGATTTTTAAAACATGCCACCAAATTTTCACTATTTCTGAATTATCTCCCCTTGAATAAGGGCGTGGCCCTTCATTTGAACAAACTTGAATCCCTTCACCCAAGGATGCTTTGTGGCAAGTTTGGTTGAAATTGGCCCAGTGGTTCTGGAGAAGAAGTCAAAAATGTTAAAAGTTTACAGACAGACAGCAAGACAGACACACGGACGCCAGACAAAATGTGATCAGAAAAGCTCACTTGAGCTTTCAGCTCAGGTGAGCTAAAAACCCATTAAAATAAAACTGCAAACTAAATGATAAATGATTAATATGTGTGTCTTTTTTCTGTTATGCTCTTTTTATGTCTCTGTCGATGTACTGCTTGCGTGTCTGTAAAGGTGTGCCTTATATATGTATCTCTATCTGTAACATTCCTTATGCATCTGTGCTGTATTGTTTGTGTGTCTGTACATGTGTGTCTTTTATATGTATCTTCACTGATATGTCCTCTAAATGAGACTGTGTGCTGTACTGTTACAAGTAATACTATGTTTAGTGCTGCATGTTTCCATTGTTTTACTGTTATGTATATATTAACAATATCAGTCAAAAGCTCATTACAGCTTGTGTTATTTTTTAACTATCATACTGACTTTAAATAAAGCTTATCTTATCTTATCTTATTAAGTCATTTGTAATTTTTTAAACACAATTTTATCCCCTTTTCACACCTCAAAAAGTACCAGATTATCTACACTCTTTCAATAATCAGTAATTATAAGATGAGAAAATGACACCATAATTTTTTATTCTAAAATGCTTGAATGGGGGCCATAAAACTTGGACAAGCTCACTTTTAATCTCAATCAATCTTTTCAACTATATATTCCTTTGGTAAAAGTGAGACTGAGTTCAAAATCAGTATGTCAAAGTTTTATGTCCCCCAGGCCTGAATATATTATAACTTATCCACTGGTTGTGAGTGGGATAGCTCTTTTATCAAACCCGGGACAGGGAACTATATCCCGAGGGCTTGCCCGAGGGGAATACCGTATAGCGGGTTATTTTAGCGGGGTGCTAAATTTGGCTTATTTTAGAGTTTTGATGGTAGCCCGCTAAAAATTTAATCGCTAAAATATTCAGTACTCTTCTTAGTGTTCATCTGTAAAGAGTTTAAACACTGTCTCCGCTAAAATAAATTACACCAAAATTATTGGCATACCTTTGAGCAGGCAAAATGCCAAAATTTTACACCCGCCAAGAAAACCCGCTATACGGTAGTCCCTGTCAAGGGTTTGATAAAAGAGCTATCCCACTCACAACCAGTGGATAAGCGTTTTATTATACTGATGTATTATATAATTTCTGATGTTTGAATTTTTTGGAGTAAGATGACACTGCAAGAATAATCTGAAATCCTGATGACATCATAATGCTACTGAAGTCATTATGACATCATCAGTCAATAGAAATAATCGCTGGAAATCAAAATTGGTGGCAAAAATTGCATGAAATTTTTCCGAGGGTGGATAGCAAAAACTATACCCCGGGGTATAGCTTTGCTATGCGTGAACTATAAAAGATAGTTATTTTACCTTGTAAACTTTATATAGGAAACATTTTAACAGAAGTATAATAAATGCTTTTATTTACTGTATAGCAAGTTTTCTTGGCAGGTGTAAAATTTGGCGTTTTGCCTGCTCAAAGGTATGCCAATAAATTAAGCGTAATCTATTTTAGCAGACACAGGGTTTTAGCTTTTTGCACATAAACACTAAAAATAGTAGTGAATATTTTAGCGATTAAAATTTTAGCGGACTACCATTTAGCGGAATAACCCGCTATACGGTAATAACAATTCGACCTCAATATATATTTTTTTACCTAGGTAGAGGAGGGTACATTCTGAGCGTCTCTAAAATCACTTGTTCCATGTACTGTAGTTTGTTCACATTTTCATAATTAGGTTCATCCTACAAGTAAATAGGAAATGGGATCTAAATATTTGAAGTGGCACTACATCTTTGAAAGTTTATCTTACATAAAAACATCATTTTATTTATCACCTTCCCAATTTGATCCTTTATCTCCTGAACCACTCTGTCTTGAACTTCCTGATTTACGGCTAGTTCATAGGAAACAAAGTTCATTGTGTTGGCAGTGGTTTCATATCCCGCAACAAAAAACAGGAAAGCCTGACCTATTATCTCATCATTGGTCAATTCTGAAAAGATGGAAATTATGTAATTTCATCATTGGTCAATTCAGGAAAGATGGAAAATGTAATTTTAAAGCATTTTGATATAATTTTTCATCATTTTCCTGCATGGTGTTAAGATAATAATTACTTTTCTGTCCACTGTTGATATGTTGATCTTGTAATGACTGATCATCTAACTCAGCATTCACCATAAGTTGAAGAAAATCAACATGTCTCTGTAATTATAAAACAAAAATTTAACCATGCAAAAGCAATAATATATTTTAGGCAATTTGAGACCAATATTCCTTTCAATTTTAATGTCAGTTTCCAACTATCCAATATTTTTTTTAATTTAAGCCCTACAATAGCATATCATGGATATTTCATAAAAATCTAATTTTGGCATTTTTTGCAATGCTCTCATGCTAGAAATGAAAGTCTTGTTGTGAGATGTGTATTGTTTCATTATGTATATAATTAGTAACATTAAGTTTCTTGAACATTCCAGAGTGGTCAACATGTTTGGTCATTTTATCTAGAACATTCTTAAATTTTGTGTATGTCCAGATTGTTCCAGTAAAATCATGTTTTAACAACTTCTAGAATTTTCTAGATTTATAGTACTGTATAAATACCCTGTCAATTCGCTGCATAAAATATACTTTGTCGTATAAGCACTACTGAGATATAAATGGGATATATTTTCACTGGGACATTGTGTGCAGCAACGGACACTCTGATGTATGTATTTTTAGATTCTTGCTAAGTTTGTACTTTATGTTTGATATATTTATTATATATTACTGTAAATAAATTATTGTTAAGTTTAAATTGTGTTATTGATCTTTGCTGGCATTTCGGGTAATTCTGACCCATAACAGAATTGGGGGCTCATCCGGGATAAAGAATTTCTTGCACTTTTGCAGTTTATTGTCAGAATTTTTGTTAATTGAACCTTAAATTTAATTATAAGCCAGCAGAAATCAACATGGTGTTTTCGGTCACAGACTTTCTTAGTTCACCAAGTGTTCAGGTTTTTGATACGTTAAAAAAGGATGACTTGATCGCATTAGGTTTACATCTTGGGTTAGATGTTAAATCCTCTCAGAAAAAGCAAGACATTAGAATTAAGGTTGCAAACAAACTAGTAGAAGAAAACATCTTTGAAAAATACGATCTTCCAGAATATACAGTTAAATCAGAGTTAGGCTCTTATAAAATGGCAGAATATCAGTTTCAATTAGAGTTAGAGAAAATGCGATTTGAAAGAGAAAAATTAGAAAGAGAAAGAGAAGAACGAGAGAGTGAACGAAAATTTGAATTAGACAAATTAGAAAGACAAGAGCGAGAAAGAGAAAGACAAGAGCGAGAAAGAGAGCGTGAAATGAACTTTGAATTAGAGAAATTAAAATTACAGAACCAACCAGAACCGTCAGTTGTCAAAACTGAATTTGATGCAGCAAAAAATATCAGATTAGTTCCAAAATTTCAAGAAAAATCTGTAGACAAATATTTTCCACAATTCGAAAAGGTAGCAGAGAATCTTAAATGGCCACGAAATGTTTGGTCAACAATGTTACAAAGTGTACTGGTTGGAAAAGCGGCTGAGGTATACTCTGCACTAGGGGTAGTTGAGAGTTCAGACTATGAGAAGGTCAAAGCAGCAATATTAAAAGCATATGAATTAGTACCTGAAGCGTATAGACAAAAGTTCAGAAAGTATAGAAAGTTTGATAATCAAACATTTGTTGAATTTTCACGAGAGAAAGAAGATTTATTCGATCACTGGTTTAGATCTAAGAAACTTGATAAAACTTTTGCTAATTTGCGCCAAGTCATCCTGGTAGAAGAGTTTAAGGAATGTGTTCCTCAAGATTTGAAAACACATTTAGAAGATAAGAATGTGAAAACTCTTGAAGAGGCAGCAGTCATATCTGATACTTATGCTCTGTCTCATAAAAAGAATTTTGTTTCAAGATCTCAGACTAGCAGTAATTCTACCAATTCAGACACATATAAAAAGAGTGGTTCAGGGTCTCAGTCTTTCACAAGTTCCCAGTCTCCATCCCAAGGTGGTTTTAAGTCCGGTTCAGGACGTGTTGAAGGATCGTCTGGAATAGGGTCGCTTCCTACTTGTAGTTATTGTAAGAAAAAGGGTCATCTGATCAGTGAATGCTTTAAACTTAAGAGAAAAAATGATTTTGATAAAACTCAACCACATGCTTGTGCGGCAGTTAGAGGTGATAGAGAAGCCTTAGTATCGATTTGTTCTGACACTCCTGATGTCCAGGGTTCACAGTCCAGTTCTATTGATTCTATGGAGGATTATAAGCCCTTTATGTCTCAGGGATTTGTTTCACTCGGTGACTCTAGCGAAATAAAACCTGTCCAGATTTTGAGAGATACTGGTGCTGCACAGACGTTATTGTTAGAGGGCGTGCTTCCTTTGTCTGAGCAGACTTCTACTGGTGGATCAGTTTTATTACAGGGTGTGGAGCTAGGCGTCATTGATGTTCCCCTGCATAGAATTAGTTTGAAGTCAGATTTAGTTACTGGACCTGTTATCGTAGGTGTTCGACCTACTCTTCCCGTTCCAGGCATTTCTTTGTTGTTAGGCAACGATTTAGCTGGTGGGAAGGTTGTACCTGATCCTATAGTTTGTGAGAAAATCACTCCAGATGTCATGTATAATGATGAAGATGATGACATTTATCCAGCCTGTGCTGTTACTAGAGCGATGGCCAGAAGACGAGAAATGGAGGCAGACCATACTCAAGCCTTTGACGAGACGAATTCCTCTGTTGATATTGATTTGAATGACACTTTCTTATCTGACCTTGATGGCACTCAAACAAGCATGGAATCACACAATATCAAGAAGCAAGAGAAGAAAGAACTTTTACCAAAATTTAGTGGTGATGAAGATGAGTCAAATCTACCAGAAAGCCAAGACAAGGATATCCTCAGCCGAGAACGTTTACTCTCTGAACAACATAAAGACCCAGATATCATTCAACTTAGTAAGAGGGCACTTCCACCAGAAGAGGCTACTAAAGTTGGAGAATGCTTCTATATGAAAGATGGCATCCTTATGCGAAAATGGCGACCACCTGATGCTTCTCCAGATGAAGTGTGGCGTGTTGTTCACCAGATAGTGGTCCCAGCTGCTTATCGTCGAGATGTCATGAGTTTAGCTCACGATACACCTATGGCTGGTCATTTAGGTATCAATAAGACTTATAATAGGATTTTGAGTCATTTTTATTGGCCTAAGCTAAGAAAGGATGTTTCGAAGTTTTGCAAGTCATGCCATGTCTGTCAGATGGTAGGTAAACCAAATCAGAAGATACCATCTGCTCCTGTCCAACCCATTCCAGCTTTTGAAGAACCGTTTAGTCGAGTATTAGTGGATTGTGTAGGACCTTTGTCTAGGACCAGATCTGGAAACCAGTATTTACTTACCATTATGTGTACATCCACTCGATTTCCTGAAGCCATACCTCTAAGGAATATAAAGGCAAAGAGCATAGTTAAGGCCCTAACCAAGTTTTTCAGTTTTGTAGGAGCACCCAAGGCAATTCAGTCGGATCAAGGCTCAAATTTTATGTCGGGGTTGTTCCAGCAAGTCATGCATGAGTTGGGTATAAGGCAATATAGATCAACTGCTTATCATCCTGAGTCCCAGGGAGCGCTAGAACGTTTTCATCAAACCCTAAAAACAATGCTGAAGACCCATTGTTACCAATATGAAAAAGACTGGGACGAAGGGGTTCATCTTGTGCTATTTGCTGCATGAGAAGCAGTCCAGGAGTCTCTTGGGTTCAGTCCATTTGAATTGGTGTTCGGACATACAGTTAGAGGTCCTTTGAAATTGTTGAAGGAAAAGTGGCTGACTGAGACTAGTGATCTTAATCTTTTAGATTATGTGTCTGATTTCAAAGAAAAACTTTACAATGCTTGTAAATTAGCACAAGAAAATTTGAAGAATTCTCAGATGAAAATGAAAATGTGGTATGACAAAGATGCCAGAAATAGGGTGTTTAAGCCAGGTGATAAGGTTCTTGTATTTTTACCTATTCCTGGTCATCCTTTACAGGCCAGATTTTATGGTCCTTATGAAATTGAAAGCAAGATCAGTGATGTAAACTATGTAGTTAAGACACCAGGTCGACATAAAGAGAAACGGGTTTGTCACATTAACATGTTAAAAGAGTATTTTGAAAGGTGTGACCGAAATTCTGTAAAACCAGTTTCCACTTTAGCCAATGCTAAGACTGTTCAAAATTATATTGAAAGTGATACGAGTGTAGAAATGAATGAGAAAGATTGTAATCAGAGTGTTCGTTTGAAAAACTCAGAAATTTTGGCTGATTTTGATGCCAAACTTGGACATTTGAACATTCACCAAAAAGAACAAGTTAAAAACTTGATGAATGAGTATCATCAAATCTTCTCGGATGTTCCAAAGAAAACTAATGCAGCTTGTCATGATGTTATAGTTGGCGACGCTCTGCCTATCAAACAACATCCGTACCGTCTGAATCCAATAAAATTGCAGTACCTAAGAAGGGAAGTGCAGTACATGTTGGACAATGACATTGTTGAACCTAGTAAAAGTGATTGGAGCTCACCGTGTATTCTTGTACCAAAACAGGACGGTTCTTACCGATTATGTACAGACTTTAGAAAGGTGAATTCTGTTACCAAAACTGATTCATATCCAATACCTAGAATCGATGACTGTATTGACAACATTGGAAATGCGAAATTTGTCAGTAAATTTGACCTGTTGAAAGGCTACTGGCAAGTACCGTTAACAGAAAGAGCAAAAGAAATATCTGCTTTTGCTACACCAGATGGACTTTACCAGTATAAAGTAATGCCTTTTGGCATGAAAAACGCACCGGCTACATTCCAAAGGATGATTCACTCCCTTCTTCAAGACCTTGAGGGATGCGAGGCCTACATTGATGATGTCGTCATATATAGCAACACATGGGACGAACATCTCCGAATCATGCGTGCTTTATTTGACATTTTAGCTGAAGCAAACTTAACTGTGAATCTTGAGAAGAGCGAATTTTGTCATGTTTATGTAGAGTATTTAGGTCATAAAGTAGGTCAAGGTTATGTTACACCCATTATGGCTAAAGTGGAAGCTATTGCAAAGTTCCCGATTCCTACAAACAAGAAAGAATTAATGAGGTTTTTGGGCATGGCTGGGTTTTACAGAAAATTTTGTCCAAATTTTTCCTCAGTAGTTAGTCCACTTACAAATCTTTTACGAAAGAGGGTTAACTTTGAATGGACAAAGGACTGTGAAAAATCCTTTCATAAAATCAAATCTGTCCTTATGAGCAACCCAGTTCTGTCAACTCCAGATTTTTCTAAGCAATTTAAGCTTACTGTTGACGCTAGTGATGTTGGAATCGGGGCAGCTTTGTTTCAAGAACATAGTGATAAGGTAGATAGAGTTGTTTCTTATTTTTCAAAGAAACTTACAAAATGTCAACAAAAGTATTCCACCATTGAAAAGGAATGTCTTGCTTTGTTGTTAGCCTTACAGCATTTTGATGTTTATCTGAATGTTACATTGCATCCAATACTTGTGTATACTGATCACAACCCCCTGACATTTTTGCATAAATTGTCAAACAAGAATCAAAGACTGACTAGATGGAGTTTGTTGTTACAAGAATACAACATAACAATTAAGCATATCAAAGGCAAAGACAATGTTATTGCAGACACCTTGTCAAGGGTATCGTAAACATACTAGATTTTGTATTAATGTACATGTTTTACAATTTAAGTTTTTCATTGACATTCAAACTTTTTAAGGGGGGAGGTGTTGTGAGATGTGTATTGTTTCATTATGTATATAATTAGTAACATTAAGTTTCTTGAACATTCCAGAGTGGTCAACATGTTTGGTCATTTTATCTAAAACATTCTTAAATTTTGTGTATGTCCAGATTGTTCCAGTAAAATCATGTTTTAACAACTTCTAGAATTTTCTAGATTTATAGTACTGTATAAATACCCTGTCAATTCGCTGCATAAAATATACTTTGTCGTATAAGCACTACTGAGATATAAATGGGATATATTTTCACTGGGACATTGTGTGCAGCAACGGACACTCTGATGTATGTATTTTTAGATTCTTGCTAAGTTTGTACTTTATGTTTGATATATTTATTATATATTACTGTAAATAAATTATTGTTAAGTTTAAATTGTGTTATTGATCTTTGCTGGCATTTCGGGTAATTCTGACCCATAACAGTCTCTATTATTCAATTCAAGTGTCTTTGAAAATAAGAAGAAAGATCCTTAAAATCACTAAGATTTCAATATGTTTATAATAAATGCCCACTTCCAATAGAAATGCACTCGATATGCTAGTAGCTAAAACAACCCAATACATGTACTGCATGTGTTCCGATTTCTTTGATGTTATGTAATCCTAATCCCAATATTCCTTCTGAGTCCTTCTGATTTCATTGACACACATACCTCAGATGACTCGGTTTTCCTGTCTTCTATCATAGCTTGACATTGTCTGACAAAAAACCCTACATTCTCCTTGTTGAAGAAAGTCAGGTTGAAGATACGAAGAACAGGATAAAGGCTAGGAAATACACCTATAAAAATTAAGATTAAGGCATGATTACTTGTCTATGTTTAAGGCCAATACACTACACACTTTTTCTCCAAATGTAGCCAATTAACAATTTTGTGTAAATTTTGAAAATTTTCCTTCATTCAACACTTTGATTGATTAATTTAAGATTTTTGCAGAATAAAAATCAATAAAACTTGTTTGAAATAAATGACTTTTGATCCATTTACAATGTAATCATCATCCTTTCCTTTTCATTTTGAGCAACATATTTAATTCATGAGATACAATATGCCATTTCTTAATAGTTTTCTCAAAAAAGAGATGTGGCCTTGAATTAAAGTTTACAGAATACAGATGAAAGAACATGAGACAAATGTTGATCAGAAAAGGTCAATAGTCTTTAATTTGCTTAGATGAGTTACAATGTTTGATATATATGCATGTATAAAGTCAGCAAAAAAATCATCAGTGCAGCAAAAAGGTACATAACTTATACCTACTTGCAAGTGTGATGCAAATTCTTCTCCATGGCTTCATCCCTCTTTGGAATATTTCTTTGATGTTCTTGATAAAAGAACTGTCTGGATTGTTAATACTGTCTACATCCAATCCAAAGGCTGTCGCTGCTATAGCGTCCAGAGTAAAACCCCCATATAGCCTGTTAAGGTACAGCACTGACAATTTGGAATATAGTGACAATTTCCTCTAACTTGCTACAGGTGTCATTATATTCATCAGAAAGACTAAGGTATTTGAGGAACAGTTGTAATGATACAAGCTATTTAAAGAACATTTACTATGTATGTCTAGATTAAGTCTTTGATGCCCAACTTGCCTCCCCCCCCCCCAACCTACCATCACCACCATTCCAGAATGTCATGTCACTTGCACAATAGTTACTTATTTACTTGTGAATATTAACCATAAAACTTTTATTGTAAAATTTAACAAAAAGCTTGCAGGGTTCTCCTAATCCTTAACTAGGGTATTGTGGATTTCTATGATACTTACTGTTTGACTTCAACATTTTCTTTGGCTTTTGCCATGTTTTCCATTTTATCAGCCAGATTTGCAGAACATCTGTTTATGTCATGTGTAGTCTACAAAGGTAAAAAGTTACATTAGAACAAGTCCTTCATTTTATTAACTGTAACATTATCCACAGTTAATAAATGAAGGAATATATTCCAATACTAATTTCTTTGCAAATTAAGTTTTCTTTTGTTTAAGTTGTCTTAAAAATTGCAGTTTTCCTTATCCAGATGCAGTGTAATAAAAGACACTTTTTTAAAAGCCATTTTATTTGTGGTACAATTAAACAATATTGTAGATTTTTTATGTAGAGTAATGCACTAAGAGAGTGTGAGAAAAGTATTTACACAGTTCTTGACTGGATATGATATTTTTCATACTCTTGTAATTAGTGTTTTCTATTTTGTACATAGTCCACAATTTTTGAATACAAAACACACAACTTATTGGATACAAAAACACAACCTATCAGATAAGGCTGGCTTTAAGATGATATTTGTTTGCCCTCTCCCATCTCAGGATAAATTATTTTTCTCAGAAAAATATTGATTTCAATGCTAAATTTTTAAAAATAAAATATATTTTCAAGAATACATAAAAAATGAATTGCTTCCTAGAGGTTAAAAAGTTTTGAGTTGGGCCACTTTTAGCGAGTGGGATTGGAGAGGACAACCAAACAACTTTTTAAAGATGGCCTATCATCAAATATTCTCTATTATATCATACCATCTTCAGTTTCCCTGTGCTAAATGTTGGAGTTAAAATGGAACGAATCCGTTTCCAGTGTGATCCATAATGGAAAAATACACCTTTGTTAACAGGTGTCTGTGTCATTGTGTAAATCTGCAAAAATAAGTACAAAATTTTATTTGCATGTTGTTAAAAGTCATTGTTTTCTACAATCTGATATTTTTCAAAAAATATGCTTTTTTTTCTTTTTCTTTTTTTTTTTTGGGGGGGGGGGGGGGGGGTTAGTGACGGTTGCAACATTGCCAAAAAAAAAGGAAAAAGAAAAGAAAATAGAATCAAAACATGCACATATCTGCAAGTTAGATTATTTTTTCCAGAAATGATAACAACATTAATTCCAATATAAACAAAGAAATAAAGATACCTTAATGATTACAGCTGTCTTTAATTAATCATGTTAAGTGGATGAAGGTTTGATAATTCTAAATGATTTTTACATTGATGGCTTGGAAAACAAGATCTAACTAAATGAGCTATTCTAGTAGTGAATACTTCATTGCTTAATAAATGGCATTTGTAGCTTTCATACAAAAGAACTGCAAGTATTAAAGTACCATCACCCAGTACCAGCATGAATGTTGTCAGTATTCAAATCTTCAGGACTTTATATGGATAAAGTTATAGGGATAAGGATTGATATAAGGTTTGTAAGGATAAGGATTATAAGGTTTATAAGGAGTTATGTTATAACGATTAATAATTTAAAAGTATATATCATGTAGGTCGTGGCCACAATCGCCAAATCAAAATAAATAAGTTTAAGAAGTTATACTTGTCTTCATCGTCTTTAATAATAAAGTACTGGTACTCTGAGAACACATTTAGTGGATGTGAATATAAAACATAAAATTGACTAGCCAATTCATTTAGGGAAACACTCAAAAGCAGTTTAACTCTGATTATGTAAAACTTATCCCAAACCAGTACAACATGTCAAACAAAAATATCCCCAGTACTCCCTTACCCTCCTTGGCCTGTCCTGGAAGTAGGGAAAATCCTTCACAAGGACATGCTTTGCTATTTCTGGATCAGCCACAGTAATTAGGGGAGTTTTACCATACCAAGACCTGTAAAATGTTTGCATTAATTTTTTATTAACTCCATTACAGCAATATAAAATGTGAGAGCCCTAGAGTAATTCAAACGTTTTACAAAAGTAATTAAAACTCCAAGGTCAAAATTTTGATCTGGTCACAATGGCTATTTGTCAAAAGTAAATGCCATGGTTAAAAAGGTCAAGAATTTGGTTTTAAAAGAAAAGATCAAAAGAAATGAAATGCACATAAGAATATGAAAGACTGGCTTTTAAAAACTTATTGAAGAGCAATGGCTAGGGTTAAAGGTTTTTTTTAGATTAATTATCAAACTGCAAGGTCAAGGACATGTGGTCAATAATGTTGAAATCTAAGTAAAAGGTGTCTTGTAACTAGGATAACACAGGTGAAATACATGTATGAAAGCCCTAGCTAGCTCTAACCATTCAAAAAATTAATGCCAAGGTCAAATTTTACAAAAGTAGGACAAAGAAGGTCAAGCTCCAAGGTCTAAGTCATAAGATCAAAAATGTTTGTAGCGCAAAAAGCTCTTGTAACAAGGAATACATCTTTAATTTGAAAGTCCTAGCACCAACCAATCAAAATTCACAACAAGATTAAAGTTTTGTGAACAAACAGACAGGTAAAATTTTATTTGCCTCAAAATCTTTGAGGAAGCAAAGAAAGCTCAAAAAAAATTATACTAGTTCTAGGTTTTGACCTTCAGAGGTCATCAGAATATAGGGGTGTGAAATTACTTCTCTTTTTGATGTAAATTATTCTGGATATTGTATAGACAAACTGCTTTGTACTTACACAATGATTTTAGTTTTCTTTTCATTAAACCATTTCCTCTCATAATCATCAACTCCCTACAGTAAAAAAAAATAAAAAATTAATAAAAATCTTCATAGATTTTAGATAATGAAGTCACTGTAGTACATGTATTTGGAACTTAAAATCTTTTTTAAAAAAATGATTAAAACAGAATACAATGTACTTATTTTGACAAATCTCTATTATTTTAGTACACTCTATACCCTAGAGATAATGAACTTAAGGTCAGTTATCGATGTCTGGTATGCAGAACTTAAGGTCAGTTGTAGATATCTGTATTACAGTACTCATGGTCAGTTTAAAGATGTTTTGTAAACAGTACTAATGGTCAGATGTAGATGTCTGGTATACAGTACTCAAGATCAGCTGTAGATGTCTGGTATACAGTACTCAAAGTCAGCTGTAGATGTCTGGTATACAGTACTAAAGGTCAGCTGTAGATGTCTGGTATACAGTACTCAAGGTCAGCTGTAGATGTCTGGTATACAGTACTCAAGGTCAGCTGTAGATGTCTGGTATACAGTACTCAAGGTCAGCTGTAGATGTCTGGTATACAGTACTCAAGGTCAGCTGTAGATGTCTGGTATACAGTACTCAAGGTCAGTTGTAGATGTCTGGTATACAGTACTCAAGGTCAGTTGTCTTGTATACATTACTCAAAGTCAGATGTAGATGTCTGGTATACAGTACTCAAGGTCAGTTGTAGATGTCTGGTATACAGAACTCAAGGACAGCTGTAGATGTCTGGTATACAGTACTCAAGGTCAGTTGTAGATGTCTGGTATATAGGACTCAAGGTCAGCTGTATTTAATTGATAACGGTGAAGTATCAAACTTCTAGATCCTCCTCACCATTTTGATGACCTGGTAAAGATGACCTATCAGAGGAAGGATTCCCTCCGGGGCAGGTATCCCCGTCCTTCTCTGGTAATCCTCCGCTTCTCGACGCCGCAGCCTGGGGAATCAAAAGAAGTCTAAATAAAAAGCTAATTAATATAAAATAGCAAAATAGTTGGGAGGGGGTGGGTGTGGGTGGGTGGGGGTGTTAAATTAATATTCTGTTTGCCACTGATCTCCTTCCAATACTTAATATAATGAAATATGCTTTTCTTTAGATGTGATAGGACTGCATGCATTATTTTCATATGTATATTTGTAATACACTTAATTTTTTTATACTGTTTTTGCAAATATTGGCAAGCTTGTGTCACTTTTTAGCAATATCATAATCATAACAATATCCATATAATAAAAATAATATTCAGTAAATTTTATAAGTTGTACTCAGGCCTTATATAATTAGTTCTATTTGTATTAAATAGTCCATGTCCTGTTACTAATATGCATGGAATAAAAAAAAAGAAATAATTAAGTATAAATGATGTTCTGCATGCAGTAAATGTACATATATTTTTAATCAATCCTGTTTTTTTAAATTAATGTGCAATTATGTAATACATGTACATAAAATACTTGTTCATGTTATACTTTATTTAAACAGGGTGACCAGATTTGTGCAATGCACTTAGCTTGTTCATGTAGTTTGGAATTTTCCTTATTACAAAAATATCAATAACATCAGTCTACTGTAAACTAAGTTTGACAACAAGCAAATATCACTGTTTTTACAAATCTTAAACAGATTTATATGAAACAACTTATGATATTTCTGAAAAAATTCAGATATTTATTTAAGCAATGAACATGAAATATACAAACTGTAATATTTATTCAATTATAATACATACATGAATTATTGATACATGTCAGTTTTACACTATTGTTTGGACTCAGAATATAGCAATTCTAATAACTCGTCTATTCTAGACTAATCAAATATTAGGCTGATAAATTGATTGTTTTTCATAAATCAAGACACATTGTGATATATTTTATAGATTCATTTTATTCAAAGTGAGTTAATTGTTTAATTTTAAAAGTTCTTAATTTCTATGGAAAATTAGAAATAGGCTTAGATACAATGATATTTTAGGGTTTACTGAACTTAATATATTACATGAAATAAGAATAATTCTAAGCAGTATATATATTGATTATGTCTTCTTTTTTTAATGCAGTATATCAGTTTTGAGATCAAGTATACACATTATATTATTCAAGACATGGAGAAATCCAAGTACCTAGATCATGACTTCACATATCTACTTGCATATTTGATAACGTGACAATCCATCAGACCTTACTACAGCTGCAGGCTACAAAATACAGCAATCCTAGAATCTCTAGGACAACTTTCCTCTGTCATATCTAATTCAATACGTCTTACCATAACAAAAGAAAAACGACGACAACAATCCCAGCCAATGACAATGCCCAAGAATCCAACAAACAGCAGAGATGTAGGTCCATTCAGATGGTTAGTATACTAGTGCTGAATTAGTGACTTTTGGCTTTGGCCTACTTTCACTTTCAGCTATGGCACGCCGAATGCGTCAAGAGCACTTTCAAAGTATAGATATAGCTAGATTTTTACGCTTCAAAAATATTTCGAGATGTGAAATTTTATATTTATAAAAGATATAAAATTACAAATTTTAAAACTTCCAAAAATATCATCGATCGAGAAATAAGTTTTGTTGATTTTATATATAATTAGCTGCAGAACTGTAGCTCTCCGAAAAAAAATATATTGACAGGAGAGCTCTGTAAAGTGCCAGCAATTGAAAAAAACTGTATATTTTTTGCTCACAAAAATTTGCGCTTGATCCTGGATTAATTCTTCCAAATTCTTACTACGAAAAGCTAACTTTTACTTAATTTTCTATCAAAATTAATACTCTCCGACTCGCAGTTGACACCTGCACGAAGCGCATTATCTAGACCGAATTATCATGCAAACCAAAATGGCAGTATTTTATATTAAAAAAAAAATAAAAAAAAAAAAAGACGAAATTTTCGATCATCTCAATTCCAGGGTCAGGAGGGCTATCAACAACAATTATAAAAATGTTTTGTTGTGAAAGCAGTGAAAGAATATATAAGGATCACACGGTCAGTAATTTTTTTTAGGTGACAGTTTGAAGAACATGGAGAATAGAATCGAGAAACAGTGCACTTTGTTGTGCGCAATAAATATACAGTTTTTTCAACGGGTGGCACTGCAGCTCTCCGGTCTGTCAATATATTTTTTTTTTCCGGAGATCTGCAGTTCTGCAGCGAAACTGAGTAGAATGTATAACTAGCTGTTGTTAATCTAAAACTAGGCCTAGCTGAAAAAAGTCATTCAATATTAGGGCCCGACTTACAAAGACCATTGTGTTGTCCCACTTGAATTCAAAAGTATTGTTTTTCTTTTGCAAACATTTCTTGACTATTTGGACTCTACATTTTTATTATTTTTTTTTAATATAATTTTAATGCCTCATTGCGTTGGGCTGCATATGCACTTGCAATAAAATTAAGGAGTTCAGGCGTGAAATCACAATTTAACAAAGCAAATACTGACTTTATACAAACTTACTTTTGGTTGAAGTGGATAAAAAAATAAAATTTCTTTTATAGGACAGTCTTATTCCGTTAACAGAGGCATACAATAAGGGGATTGTTATTCTGATTTAAACTCGCTGCTATTTGATCATATCCAAACGACAGATAAATTTTTATGTTGTTCTCCGTTTTTTTTATTTCAGCCTTGTGTCTTTACTAAATATTCAATAATTTTCCCCCATGTTTGCGTATTCTTTGCCTTTGTGGATACTAAACGTGTTAGACATTGCTTGTATCACCACCGGGGACACCTGTCAGGTGTTTTGGAGATAGGTGCTGCAACTGCTACCAAATATATTCTGTCAAGGAATAACGTCAATTAATGAAGAATCGGTTAAACAGTCACACAATGAAAAATGTTTTCTTTTTCTCTATAATAAAAAACAGATCGAACCTAAGCAGTACGAAGCCTCCTGGTCTAAGGAAATAAGGATACCACATGTCTTCCATTTTGCTGGTATGTGCATACATCTGCTGCGGGGAACACTTATAGACAACTGCAGCTAAAATACTCGTACTATTTTTTTCGTCTTTATCTTACCACAGCAACTTCATACAACACAAAACAACTTACCAATCACAAGGAAAGTTTGTTCATTTGTGTCCCCATGACTAATGGAATGAGTGGATTGCGTGATAATAATTATCACGCATTCCAATCGATTGATCATCGTCATGAAACCAAAAAATCTAACAGTTATTCTTTCTTTTTACATGCTCTTGATTCCGCCAATCCACGTGCTCTAAGCCCCGCTTCTGTCTCTATGAGTGTATTCGATTAAGACAACCCGTGTCGCACTAGTGTTAAATATGCGCATGCTCATTGATTGAACTCTAGTGATCTAAATAAAACATCTCGTGTTGTTTAGTGTTTTTATATTCTCCCTCACTTCGTTCGTCCGAATATAAATTAATTATACTCTTTATTCTGTATTGAAAGAATAATCAACTCATATGTATGGAATGCTGCTCGTCAGAACGTTTATTACAATTCTAACACATTTGTATTTATTTCAACACCCATTATTTTTAATCATTAAATAATATTGATAAATACATACATTTATACTCTTTATTCTGTATTGAAAGAATAATCAACTCATATGTATGGAATGCTGCTCGTCAGAACGTAGAACAATCAAAGAGAAAATTGTAAAAAATAATAATACCTGTCTACACACACACACACGCTATATATATGCATATATATTTATTAATATATATTCATTTATATTTACACGAAAAGACTATTAGACACTTTCAATTTGTTATCTATACAATCCTTAATATAATTGTCTCTGGAATAGTCAGATTTCCAACGTCCATGTATTTTGATCAGACGCTCCGACACATTTTTCTCGGCTGCAGTTGTTGCCCCTCCACTTCGCAGACTGTGCAAACCAAAGCCTTTTGAATCTATTCCCACTTTTCCAAAGCTTCTAACAATAACTCTCGGGCTCTTGTATATGAAATCGGCTTGTTAATACCGCACAACATATATTTTCCACATGACTTGTAAAATCTAATTGCTCTGAATACATATTCCTCTGGTTTATCCTGAATTTCAGCTAGATTTAAATAATGCTTAATCCAAGATACAGGACACAGCTTCCCTCCTGCCTCTGCCAATGTCACTTCGTTACCACGCCTGTATACGTCAGTTTTGCTGGATTCGATGCAAACATTCATGTATAAATTCTTGAAAATTATATTTTTCACTTTAATATTAGATAATTCACTAAATCGCAAAAAACCTGCGAAACTCAACAACAACATAGCCACTGTTCTCACACTTCGTAAATCACAATTTTGCTCCCGTTCCCCATATACATTTATAATCTTCTCTAACACATCTGGCGAAATTGGTTCCTTCTTCTTTATGGGCTTTGATAAAATTCGTTTCCCCCCTCCATTAAACTATGAATAACACTGTCGTCACAAGGATTAGAAAACGCACAATGAAGATCATGATACCACTTTATACTATAGAAAAATGAACACAGAACTGCTTCAGAAACTCCTTGTTGAATTAATCCACTTAAGAAAATGGCAATCACACTAGATTTTGCGGGAAAACTTGCGACATCTTTGGAAATACACCACTGCGTAAATTTCTTGAAATACGTTTCATACTGCTTGACTGTGCTTTTACTTTTTGCACTTTTCATGATGTGGAATATTGAGGAATCTGCCGATTTAAACTGCTCTTTCGTTGACATGTCTTTAATTTCCGCCCAAGTATTATTAAAAATCTGTGAATAAACAGCAAAAATATAACAACACACACACTTGCATATTTAAACTGCTATTATTATATTTTTCTGAAATCAATTCTAACAACCAAAACGTTGCTCAAAAACATATCTTGAGCAAATATACTCAACTTGTCTGATCCTGACATAAAAAATTTTCTTGGGTTCTTATATTCAACATATTCTTTTATATAAGATTTGTAAGATGTTGTACTTTTATCCCATATCATTGGCCAAAATAAAGCAGACAACCATTTAGGAATGATTAAAGTTCCATATGCATGACACAAACGCAAATGTTTTATCACTTTGCCTATAAGGAAAGGAGGAGGTACTATCCAACAATTTTCACCTGACCAATCATAAGCGAAAGCGTCAACTCCTGTAGTGCCTGGATTCCAATATTTCGAATAAAACCTTTTAACTTTGTTATTCTTACAATTTGCAAAAAGATCAATTGTAAAAGGACCCCATATTCTATCAAAATATCGGAAAATGTGTTCAGACACACTCCAATCATCACTGTCAAATATGCGACTGTAACTATCTGCATCCATGTTGTATTCTCTTGGTATCCACTGTACTTCAAGTAAAATACTGTATTGCACACAGACACCAAATATACTCAATGCCAGCTGATGCAGCTCGTCAACCATACTACCTTTACATGCGATGCGCACGACATTTTGATTATCTGTAAATATTTTCACAAACCTTCCACTCAACACATCTGCCAGACTTGTTAAAATTATTTGTACTGACTTTAATTCTCTCCAAGTTGAACTTTTACTTTTTTCACACTGATCCCACATGTAATGAACTATTTTCTTATTCCTTTCACATGTAAACCCTGCGCCTGCATGAGAACTTGCATCCGAAAAAATAATTTTCTCTGGTGTCTTATCAATACATGTAAAATATTTGCAAGGGAGCTTACTGATATTGTAATGCCAAAACTCCAACTCTTGAATATTCCCATTGTCTATATACAAAATTTCATCCCAGCCAGTTTTAGAGCAAATTGTAATACTGAGACGTCTAGTCATTAACTGACATATATTTCCCAAAGATGGTTTTAATGCGATAATTTTTCCCACAAAAGAAGATAATTTTCTCGCCGAAATATTGTGTTTATTCTCTAAAAGTTCTTTTAATAAAGATTTAATATTACTAATTTTTCCAAAGGAACTTCTAGCGTCCCGCTTTTCAAATTCCACAAAAACCCTAACCATACCATACTCTGAGTAGGCTCAAGTACTGACTTCTCAGTATTTATAACAAAACCTGATCTCTGTAACGTGTCTTGTATTATGTCTGATGCAGACTTGCAATTCTCGTACGTATCACAAACCCAACCATCGTCCAAGTATACTACCACAGGTATACCACATGATCTCCAATATTTCACTAAAACTCTCACTACTTTTGTAAAAACATGCCCTGCTGAAGATAAACCAAAAGGTAACACATTAAATTCGAAAAATCTGAATTTGTCACCATATTTCCAAGAAAAACCTAAATATTTGTGAAAATCTGGATGTATATCAATATGGTGATAACCTGATTTTAAATCAAACTTAATCATGTGCATTCCCTGTTTTGCATATTGTAAAGCCTCACTCACCCCTTCAAACTTCACCTTTTGTTTTTCTACAAATTGATTTACATGTCGAAGATCTAACACCAACCTT